GAGCCTCTCAGAGTTTAGTATCCTGTTCCAGTATAGGCTGTAGTTTATTGATAATGTGTTGGACAGGTTTAAGTTGGGGGTTGTAGGTGATGACACACCACTTCTGAAATTTGATTTGTCCTTTTCATATGTGTTCATTTTTTTTAATTGTATCCTTTGGTATATATGGTTGTGACTATTTTCTTCCACTATTTGATCTGAGGAAGTGGGTCTGGCCCACGAAAGCTCATCACCTAATAAACCATCTTGTTAGTCTTTAAAGTGCTACATAGTCCTGTATTTTGTCACTGCCTTGAGGCACCGTTCCCTGAAAGTGAAGCACTTGGGTGGCTGCCCAGGAGAGATTAAAATGCCCCCCAGCCAATTAACAGCGTGCCCCCAGCTGGCAGCAGGTATTCCTACTGGTGGTGCACATCTGCACGTGCCTTGGTGCACAGAACAAAATGTATTCTGCACACAGAGGGAAAACAGAGGGAACAGCGTCTTGACGCCCTTTGTTTGGAGGAAGGGGACGAGTGAAGGAGCAGTCTGGGCGGCATTTCCTGAGTGGGTGCACAGGAAAAGGGACAATGACACATGGGTCAGCATTATACGTGCAGCAAAGAATGTTTGGTCTCGGTATCTGTGCACGTTGCACCTCTTGTTCAGGGGCATCAAGGCAGAACCCGGTCTCAGTTAGAACTAAAAGAGGATCAGAGAGGGGCTCCCTCGCCCCAGCAGGATCTCCAGGGAATCGAGAGGGGGGCGTGGCAGGGCTGTCCAGGTTCCAAGTACAAATCAAAGACTGTGGTTTCCATTTCTGTTTTCAGCAGCGTCTTACTCACTTTATTCTCCAAGTAGCCTCACAGGAATCTGATCATTCACAGAGAGAACGATTACTCAAGGTGTGTAAGGGTAGCACAATCCAGGCCTTAAGAAGCTCTACACTCACGCTAAAGAAAACCAAATTAGCTGCAGGAATAAAGGAAACTCGCCTAGTTCTGCAGCTTCAGCCCCAACAGACAAGTAGAAGTGCCTGCCTTTCACGCTAGATGTGACAAGAGGGTAGCCAGCTTACACAAGATATTCACAATCAGCTGTGTACACTTCTCTGTAAAAAGCGCTGGACACTACCCAGCACACAAGCCCTACGGTCTGAACCTGCAGTGGGCTCCATGTGTGTGTGGACTCCTAATGAAAAGAAACCAAATGGACACTGGCTGATGTGATTTGTTCCAATAAATCAAGTCTTGGCCCTACCAACTTTGAAAGCTCCAGAATTCTACTGGCCTGCAGTCCTTCATATGGACTGTTCTACACACAACCCCTCCCTTCCCTTGTTCTACAGAGGCAACAGCCACTCTGGAGTTTGAAGTGCGAAGGAGCCAACGTTGTGCCAATGGGAGCGGCTCAGCGATGAGGCTACAAAGAAAATCAGTGCAAAATAGTCCAGTTGAAGAAATAAAGGGGAAAAAATGAAGCTGACAAATGCAAGGCAATGTAGAGTCCCTCCACCTTAGTGAGGTGACCCTCTGGCAGCAAGTGCCGTCAGACATACCCCCCCCCCCGGGCTCCATTGGGCCAAGTTCATTTGTGCACTTTGCTATGTACTAGAGCCACACGCTCCAACTCTCCAGAGTCCCATCTGCACTGGGAGAAGGGGCCCTGGATACCAGTTCTCAGCTATTACGGACTCTCTGTAAATTTACAGACGGTTGGCAACCCTGGTACTGGGTCCTGCTGTGAGGGCGGGGACTGGACTGGATGAGTGTCCGTGATTCTATGTGACACATGACTTCAGTCAGTGTTAGAAATGGCTTAGGAGGGGCCAGATGGGACAAAATCATTCTCAGCGCAGTTACCAAAAGACTTGGACAGTTAAGCCACTTTTATTTCTGACTGGGGGGCACCTGCTGCTTATTTCATGTATCAGCGTCCTAGTGTAGATGGGTGCAGCACACCTTGCGGAACAGTGTTGGAACTGGAACACAAGCCACCTTTGGCCTTGCAGACAGTTCACAAATGACTGGAACGGACAAGCAGTCTCAGCTCTGGATCATTTCCTTTCACCCCCCGCTCATTACAGCTTGGCACTGCCAGGCAGGTCCTGGCTATCTGAGCACCCTTCGGCTGCGGCAAGGCCTAGGGAGAAAGGCAGAAGCAGCAGCATCGCAGCTCCGGAAGGAATGCGAGGGACCAGCAGAGAGCTAGACACAAACGAGCCAAGCAACTGTACTAAGCATGGCCAGACCTAGACACTATCACAGGCCCAGCGATGTTCCACAGACGCACAACCCACCCCAGAGAAACCCAGTTATCACGGGGAGAAAACCCAGCACCTCCCCTGGGGCGGCCGGCGCGGGCCCCGCCCCCCGCACCCCCCCCCGCCCCCGGGGCGGCCG